GGGGGGGGGGGGGGGGGTGTTGGTGGCATGGCAGGTGTTGGAGGGCCCGTGGGAGGGGAAGGTCGCCTCCGAGGACGCCATCGTCTGGTGCATCAACGAAGCGGTGACTTACTGACCACACACACACACCACACCACCCCACGCCCCTCTCTGTGCGTATGGGTATGTATGTGTGTGTCCTGCCTGCATGCAGGGCAGCCGTGGTCTGGATCTGTCGGCTCACGAGTTGCTGCCGCCCGAGCATATGAGTGAGAAGGAGGACACGGACAAGATGCGCGACCCGACACAGGAGTGGGAGGACGTCTTCCGCGCCATCGCGCGGCACCCCGCCGTGCACGTGGTCCTCAGCAAACGCGGAGACGACTTCCGCCTGTGGGGCGGCATGCTCGTCGGCGGATGATGGATGGACACATCGAGAGGGGCGGGCGGGGAGAGGTGGCTGGGGAGGGGGGGAGGAAGGTCTCCTACTGGAGACGCGCGCGTGCCAGTCGGGTGTGGTGTGGTGTGGTGGATAATGTACTGCTTGCATGGCATGTACAGCTGGATGATGCGATGCGGCTGGGGAGAGTGCCTGCTGGATGGATGGATGGATGGGCTGATGGAGACATGCAGGCTATGCAGAGATGCTGCAAACAGCTGATGTATGTGCAGTGAGTGCGTATGTGCCTCATTCAGTGGACGGTGGCGGGCGAGACGCCCCCCCTTCTCAAGGCTGATGTGATGTGCGCGTGGAGTCGGTAGTGGGACATGTAGCGACCATTCACGCGTGGCTGACACTAGTTGATCGAGAGTACAAAAAAGGCCCTTGATGGGGGGATCCGATCCGCAGGCAAGCACGGATGCACACCGTCACGACTGCACACCCACCCACCCCTCCCACCCACCCATGCAGACATGCACACGGACACTGGAAAACTCCGGGGGCGTAGGTAGGGTAAGGTACGCCTCAATAGCTTGGTCTCCTCTCGATCGGTCGGTCGGTCTGTCTGTCTGTCGGTCTGCACACTCATCTGAGACAAGAGAAGGATGGACCACACATCCCATGCAGAGCAGAGCACGGAGTGTCCATCCATCTACTGTCCGTCCATTGGCTTGGCACTCACCACCAGCTACGTATACCAATGTCTGTTTGTTTGTCTGTCTGTCCGGCAGCCGGCTAGCAGAAACAAGAAGCAACGCCATGGCCTCCCACGGCCACCATACCATACCATCTCTCTCTCTCTGTCTCTCTGTCTCTGACGTGACGGCAATGGGTCTCCACACACGAGACAGACAGACCGACCGACCGACCTTTACTACCCCCACAGCCCACCGCAACGACGTGGGCATCCGCTCGCGCCAAACAGGCGCAACAAAATAGATAAGAGTGTGCGCGATCGGTGGATCGAATCGGTCAACCAATCAGTGAGTGAGTCCGTCACTCACTTCTTGCCGAGCGGCGGGAAGGCCTCGTCATAGGAGGGCTTGAACCGCGATGGGTCACGGTCATATTCGGGACTCTCATCGCTGCTGGTGGTGGCAGGGGGCGGCCGCTCCGGCTTGTCGTCAACCCCTCTGCACACCAACAACAACAGCACACCACACCACACCACAGAGAGACAAACAGACAGACGTGAGCCACCGCCGCCTCGATGGATGTGATGGCTCCACTCCACTCACCCACCCACTCACTGACCTGTTAGTGTCGCCCTCCTGCTGCGTCTTGTCCTTTGTCTCCTCTATCCCCTCCTCGCCCCTCGGCTCACCGTCGCCGGTGTGAGGCCCCGAGCCACCCCCTCTCTTGGCGGCCACCCACACACCAGATGCACCACCACTCCCACTCCCAGCCCTCCCCCGGCCCCTCCCCGCGCCGCGACCTCTGCCGGCCGCCTGAGACGGCCGGCTCTCCTCCTGTGTGCCACGAGCCGCGCTGTTGGCCTGTGGCACCGGCTCAGCTTCGCGTGGCGCCGGTTGTTGAGGTGGGCCATTGTGATCTTGTTGCTGCTGCTGGAAGTCACTGGTTACTGCTTTTGCCTCCTCCTGCCGATGCTGTCTTGTTGGGGAGAGCGCATCGATGGTGAGCAGTGGCCCTGCCGATGGCAAGGGTGAGGGTGAGGGTGAGGGTGAGGGTGCAGGGGAGGGGGAAAATGGCGAAGCATCCTTGACGGCCGGAACCGGCGAGGCAGCCTCGATCTGCTGCTGCTGCTGGGTTTGTTGTCGTGCCGAGCGTGTCTGCGTCTCTTGGTCCACCGAGATGACACCAGGCTGCGCGACCCTGATAGAGGGAGACAGGGAATGGGGCATCCTCGGGGGAGGCGGCTGCCCAGCAGGCACAGGAACATGGGCGTGTGCAGGGGGCGGGGGCGGTGCCCCTGGCGTTGCTGCTGGTGCTGGTGCCGGAACTGTTGGTCCCCCAGTCACACCCGCCTCGTCCGCGTGAGATCGCCACTCAGTCAACGAGCTCGACCGATGTGCCGCGCCTCCGGAAGCCGAGCTGGGCCACCGACCGGCACCCTGCCATCGATGTGGCGAGTCCATCCGCTGCTGCTGCTGGTTCACATTACCAGGGTAGGGGCCCAGCAGGCTGCCAGAAGCCTGCTGCTGCTGCTGCTGGTGGTGTGCGGGTGGTGGTGGTGGCGGGGGTTGGTACAGGGGAGGGGGGCTGGGCTGAGCCGACGAGACGAGATCGCCGGCTGCGAAGGAGCCCGGCACCGGGCCGAATATGCTGGTGCGTGAGGGGTGGTGGTGAGGATCGGGCGACACACTAGACGAAGTCGCCACTGGCCGAAACGGCCCCTGCTGCTGCTGCTGCTGCTGCTGCGGGACCATGATAGCCGCACCGAGGGGCGAAGTTGTACCTGCGCACAACGTGAAACGGACAACACACACACACACACAAGAGAGAGAGAGAGAGAGAGAGTGACGACCCGACCACCACACACATGCTAGCCAGCGCACCCTCTGCACCGCACCCCCTGGACTGTCCGACTGACCGGGGTGTGGGGCGTCAGCGAGAGGGATGTTCTGTGGGATATTCGGCGTGTATGGCTGGATGGGCAAGAAGGCGTCATGCGGCCCGCCGTAAGGGGCAAGGCCGACCCCCTCCATCTCCGGCCGCGAAGGCGCCGGGGGCGGCCTCTTGGCGAAGGGCGATGGCGCGGGCGGAATGGCTGCAAATGCTGACACCCACACCCACACAGACAGAGAGAGACACATAGATGGTGCTGCTGTTTGTTTGTCGGGCTTGCTTACGGTGTCGCTGTTGCTGCTGGGCGATGGCATTGCTGACGGCGATAAGCGCGCCGGGCGGCACGTTGGGCTGGTGTGCGGGGTACATGGGGCTGCCATTCTGCACCGACGACGGCATGTCGTGGTGCGATGAGGGAGGGCTGGCCGCCAGCTGGCGCAGCAACTCCTGCCCACCATCTGTCACACATTCACGACACACACATGCAGAGAGAGTACCACGTGGTCGTGTCGCTTCGTGTCGCTCTGACTCACTCACTGACCTGGTCCGGCCATGGGGCCAGGGATGGTCTCGTCGAAGAAGGGCGGGGGCCTGACCATGCCCACCGCCCCAAGAGCCACCACCCCCCCACCCACCCCCACCGCTGTGAGCTGCGCCGCTGGCGGCGGGGGCACCCACCCCCGGTGCCAATTGGGGCCCTTCGCCCTGACGGAGCTGCGATCGTAGTCGGGATCTTTGGCCACCGCCTCGTTGTCGGAAGGGGCCTTGCTCGTCAAGAGATCCGACGGTGGCTGGGCCAGCTTCTTCCTGTCGCCGTTGAGCTTGGGCTGACTAGTGCTGGCGGCCGACGAGTCAGCCGCACTACCAGCGGCATTGGAAGTGGCACTGGCGTCCTTGTCTTTGTCCTTGCCCTCGTCCTTGTCGGGGTCTGCCTTGCCGAAGATCCGCATGCGTGCGGCCTTGTATGCCTCCTCCCTCTCCTCGATGGTCTTGACCGGCCCCTGCAGCACCCCAAACGCCACGCCGGGAGGCGCCCCCTGACCACCCCCGACGTCACTCGCACTACCACTACCGCTCCCAGCCTCATTGATCTCCCCCACCACGTCGCCATCCCCCCCACCGTCACTCGCGTCGCCGCCGCCACCGCCGCCACCGCCAGTAGGTGCAGCCACCATCGCCACAGGAGGCCCTCTCGGCGCGTTGCGCCCTCGCTTGAGCAACGTTATCTTCGGCGGCTGCTGCTGCCCCTGCTGCTGGCCTTGCTGCCCCGGCTGTTGCTGTTGCTGTTGGTTGTCGGGCCTCAGGCTGGTCTTTTCATCGTCACTGGCTGTCGGGAATCGGCTAGAAGCGGGCGAAGAGTGCGGGTGTGGGGATCCTGAGTGGGACCGCACGGAGGTGGCCGGCGCGTGTGGGTGTTTGGGGATGGCCGGGGGGCTGTCTGGCGCGTGAACGGGCGGAGGGGGAGGCGCAGGGCTGATCGACACACGAGACAAGACACACCAACCACAGAGAGAGAGAGAGAGAGAGAGCAAGCAACAGACATGAGAAGGAGCAAGACAAAGAGCCGGCAAGGTACGAGTGGCTTGCATACCTGGCCTTTTCCTGTGCTGCGGAGGGCCTCATGAGTATCTTGAAGGGCACCTTGCCACCGCCGCTACCGCCACCCGACTCATCCCTACTGTTGTCCTTCATGACCTCCTCCATCTCTGCTGCACAAGAGCTAGCCGCACTAGCCGCCGAGCCGTCGCCCAACGACAATCCCAACACAGGTCCTCCGCCGTCCCCGCCGCCCTTGCCCTTGCTCTCGCGTGCAAGGATCTTGACGCCACTACTCTCGCCGGTAGCTGTGCCATTGGTGACGGGTTTGTTGGTCTTGTCTGGGCGGTCCTTGGTGGCTTGGCCCTTCCTGCGGTCCTCCTGCTGCTCCTCGTCAGATCCCTCCTCATCCCAGGCGTCGCGAGGCATCCTGCTGGCCGCCAGCCGGTGGTATACGACTGTGCTGCTCACCGAGACGCAGAGATCAAAAGCGCACCTGGCACAGCAAAGGCAACGTCTTTCGGGGTGCCAGCAACCAACTGCGAGCTCATTTCTGCTACAGCGGTTTCAGGAAGCACCCTAAAGCATTTGAGGATTTTGAGGACGCCTCAGGGGATGGACTTGCTTGCCTGTAGTGAGAAGTACCGAAAGCGGAAGCCGCCGCCTGTCGAGGCTCAGCCGACGCAGACGAGCCTGGCTGAGGACCTGCTTTACGACTTGGCCGACGACGAGGGGGAAGAGGCGGCAGTGCCACCAGACCAGCAAAGCGGCACGCAGACAGCAGCCGAGGGCAGCCATGAGTCAGCCGGCAGCCCAGGGGACTGCTTCCCGCTGCTGCAGGTAGAGCACCGACACAGACACAGGGAGACCAGACCCGCAGGGCCACCCCTTCGTGTGATGTGATGTGTAGGTGCCAGAGGAATTGTACCCGGCGGTGTTTGCCTTCGTCTCGTCAGCTGACTTCTTTCGGGCGTCGGTGTGCTGCAAGAGGCTGCTGTGCTTCATGTGTGGGCAGGAGGGCAGCCTGCCGCTGGTCGTCCAGTACATGGCAGAGGAGTTCCCTGGAGCCTTCAACACGGCACTCGTCGACATCGGTACGATCGTCTGTGCCTCGATGGATGGATGGATGGATGGATGGACGGCCATTTGTGTGTTGTGGTGTGTTGTGGTGTGCAGCGCGTCGGAGAGGGAGCAGGGCCGCCCGGGTGCCACCTGGTGTTGTTGCAAGGGCCACCGCCACCGCCACCGGCAGCAGTGGGGCGGCTGTGTCGCTCGACGCACTCATGCTGTGTGAGCGCCGCTATCTATTCTGTTGATTGATCAGTACTCACACGCGCACCGTTCCCTCCTGTATATATGTCTCTCTCTGTTGGTGTGTGGGTGTCCTACTGTCCCCAGGTGCGTCGCCTTTGCTGTCGTGGGCCATTTTGAGGGAGACCAAAGCCATGCATGAGAAGTGGTGGGTTGGACTGCAGACTAACAACCTAGCCTAATCACACACATCAGATGCCACTGAGTGAGTGTGTGAGCGGTGCGTGTGTGTGTGTGTGCAGGAAGGTGCCGGTCGAGTCGTCCCACCTGGCCACAGGCTGGCGGTGGTTTCAGCAGAAGGTACTCAGGAGGCTCCCGCGGACTCTTTTTGACCGGTGAGCACACTCATGGACACTTTCGTGTGTGGGCTGGGCATCTCTCTCTCTCTGTCTCTGTATGTGTATGTGTGTGGGCAGGTGGGCAGTGAGGGTGCCGTGTCAGCAGCGGTCTGCGTCAGCGGCCGAGAGCCCCTCAGCTGCAGCAGCTTCCTCGGCGGCGGACACACATGAGGACAACAGGAATCGGTGAATGCCGCACGCCCGCACACGGGGAGGGACGACTGTAATGTGGAGGCCTCGTTGTTGTGTGTGCTGTGCGTTGTCCGTTCAGTGGGCATGTGGCGAGCAGCGTGCTGGAGCATTGTGTTGGAGAGTCCGTCCAGCTGCCCGCATTTCTCAACAAGAGCGGTACAGACGGACACGAGACAGAGCCGTGCAGAAAGTAAATGTCTGTTCTCATGTTTGCTCTGCATGTGTATCTATGTGTTGCCGGCCATAACACCAACACACATACAGCGGTTCAGATCGTGCGCAAGTTGACGCAGAGCAACTGGCTGCTCCTGTATGAGTGCTGCTCCAAGGAAGTAGAACTCAGGTAGGTCTCTCTCACCTCACACACAGCAGCAAGACAAGACATCTGTGTGTGTGTGTGTGTGTGTGTCTCAGGGCGCGCCTCATTGCCGAGAAGCTCGTGGACAGATACCAGGTCTGTCGGTCGGTCGGTCTGGCTGCCAGCAGTTTGCACCCGAATGTCTGTCTGGTTAAATGGCTGAGTGCAGCCCTTGTTGCCGCCCGAGAGCGGCAGTCGGTATGACTTAGAGGAGGAGCTGCTCAACCTGCCCCTCTACAACGAGGAGAATGACACACCACAGCCGGCACAACGCAGTCGCAGCCGCAGCCGCACCCAGAACCAACACCGACACCAGCCAGACCAGGACGCCACACACGTACTAACACGCCTACACACACGCATCCGATCTCACACTGCGTGTGATCGATCTTGCCACCCCTCTCTCTCTCTCTCTCTCTCTCTCTCTGTGTGTGTGTGTGTGTGTGCGCACAGGAGAAAGATGAGTCGATGGTCCATCCCGCATTTGCCAGCGCATGGGAACACGCGCAGGTGGGCGCGGCGCGGCGCACGCCGACCTCAGACACCTACATGTACCTGCACAGCACAGCGTATATGTGTGTGTGTGTGTGTGTGTGCCTTGTCAGGACGCAGAGGAGGCCGACACGGTGACCCGCAAGAGAAGAAAGATCGACCGTGACCATGGCGACGGCGCCGAAGCGCAACACAGCGAACGGTAAATGTCTCTGTGTGCGCTGCACATGACATCGATCCACCCACACACCAGACACCACACACAGGTGACTGTTACCTGTGTGTGTGGTGTGGCGCGCGCAGCGATCCGCTGTTCGGGCGGTTTCCCATGGCCACCTCCACACCCACCAGACGGCCACCACCCACACGCACCACAGCCGCAGCCACAGCCACAGCCATAGCCACAGAGACACCACAACCAACGCCACCGTCAAGCCCACAGCCACGGTGAGGGAGGGAGTGGGAATGAGTGTGGTCCATCACGGTGGGTCCGTGTGTCTATGTGTGTGTGTATCTTGTGCTGTGTGATGCTCAGGGCGTGCAGGCGTGACGGTCAGGGCTGGTCGCATCGCTTTGATGGCAAGTGGGGCGCTGAGGCGAGCATGAGACTGCAGGTGCGCACTCGACAAACAGACAGACAGACAGACAGACGGACAGACGGACAGAAACATCAGCACACACACACACACTCACTGACACAGGCACTCTCTCTCTTTCGGTGGGTGTGTGCGTGTGCTCAGCTGTTGGGCGATGTGTGTGAGGCGTACGAGGGCTACCAGGAGTGGGCGGGAATGGTCTGCTCGTGGCTTGAGCCCCTCGAGTGGAGAATATCACAGGCACACAAACAACACACAGACGCACACAGGCAGACACACACACGAAATCTCTCTCTCTGTGTGTGTGTGTGTGTCTGCAGGACCGCGAGGCGTCTGACAACCCCTGGCCGCACACCCCCGGGCTCGAGGAGGTCTGCAAGCTGCAGTTCAGGTGTGTGTGTGCTTCTGTCTGTCTGTCTGTCTGTCTGCCTGTCTTTGCGCATCGGCGCATTTTCTCATTCACTCGTCCATCCCCTCCACTGACTCACTTAGGAATTGGGTATTCCTCAGCAGCCGCCTGGTGCATCCGCTCGTTCTGTCGCTCTACTCCACCATACACCTCCTCTACTCACAGGCGTCACACCCGTAACCACACCACACACACGCACACACACACGGCCACACCGACCATCTTTCATGCCTCTTTGTTTGTCTGTGTGTGTTTTGTGTGCCACTGCGGGGGAATTCTAGCCACCGGGGCAGCGGCGAGAGGAGGGCGCCTGACGTCGACAGGTGTGGTCTGGCGCACACCCTCCAGCCCACACACACGGCGGCGCCTGAACTCGGCGTGTATGCCGACGCCTGTGTGCTGTTTGTGTGTGTATTTCTGTGGGATGGCAGCATTTTGTCGTTGCTTGATTCGCTCTCCCGCATCATTCGGTCGCTCAACGTCCCCGACGACACGCTCTCGCCACACAGGTCCACTCAGGTACCTGTGGACACACACAGACACGCACACACACACACGCACAGCCATACGTCCGTGTGTGTGTGTGTGTGTGCAGGAGGAGCATGACATGTACTTCGTGAAGCCGATGAGTAGGCTAAGGCAGAAGTGGCACCTGCACTGAGGGATGGACAGATGGCGCAGACTGGGCGGCATGTGCCATCCCTTGTGTGGACGAGTTGGACTATGTAGTATTATTCCCTTTCTAGCTGTGAGACAGACGGACGGACAGCCGTCTCTCTTTTGCTGTTCCGATGGAGTCAACGAACATGACCGAATGAACAGATCGCGGCGTTTATGTTTGCCATCGGACCTGATGCCTTATATAATGTGCACATGGAGCTGGTGCTGGTGAAAGATGCGGGTGCCGTGACGAGAGCCATCAGGTGAAGTGAACGCAGAGATGGCATTAATGAACCCATGTGAAGCGTTGAGCGGGTCCAACACACACTTCGTCCCTCCCTCCAAGCTGGCCATTGCCGTCGACAGAAGACTGTCTGTCCATCGCAATCTATTGTACATCACACCGGCCACTCTCACACAGACACATAAGGCCACCAGGCGGCACCGTACAGTACTCACACACGCGTGGCCCACTCTCTGCCTGACACACTGCCCGCCTTAATTAACTGCTGTCTGTCACTGAATACAGCAGAGAGACACCTGGACGTTGCTTGCGGCCACCTGTGCTCCCTGTGCCGCCTCGGCAGCGGCCTGGGCTGACTTGGCCGCAGATTCGGTCGCCGCCCGAATGCACCGCACCTCCCGCAGCAGGCCGGCACTCATCCACAGCATCAGCACATTGGCCGCCACCGACACGCCAAGCGGCGTGGAAGCATTGTCGATGAGTGCCGTCAGGAGGCCGTGGAGCCGCCGGATGGACTCGTGTGTGCCGCGCTGTATGGTCTCGAGCGTGGGTTGCAGATGAGATGAGAGGGACCGTTCGGCGTCGACAATGAGGTCGCAGGCCTCCTCGAGAGTGAGCACCAGCAGAGACGACGGCGATGACATCACTGAAGAATCCATCGAAGATAAGATAGAAAGACTCCGGCTGTCCTGACGGGGACAAAGCAGTGCATTCTTGTGAGATCTCGCTGCTGCTGCCATCTGTGCTGCACGCTGCGTACCTGGCCTAGGGCGGCTTGGGCATACCGTATCGCCAAGAAACTGCGAGCTTTATGGCGATCTTTTGCGCCTTTTTCCAATTGCCTTTTTCAGCTAGGTCATGCACCGCAAGGGCACTTCAGTGGGTGTTTTGCTCAGGGACCCTGAACTCGGGGGGCTGCCCGAACGGCGAGGCCGAAAGCGAGACGCCGAGGCCAGGCTCGTCGTGCACCGAGATGCCGCCCCGCTGCCGGCCAACGGGGAGAGGAGGGATGCCGCCGACGACGTGGATGCCATTGCCATCCTGCAGGCCAATTTGCGGGAGCAGAGAGAGATCTCTGAGCCAGAGGAGGGCAAGAGACGGGAGGCGTCCTCCGGGACGGTGGCGAGGGCGGATGACATCATTGAGGCTCAGAGGAGGCCAGTCCCTGTGCTGGAGGAGAGGGGGAAAGAGGACATTTTCAGGGTCTCATTCGACAGGTAGGTAGATTGGCAATGCATTATTGCAGTGTCACTGCATGAGTGCATGCATGTTGCCAATGGGGTCGTCTTCTGCAGGCGTCTTATTCGTGTCGAAGCATCGCACCATGCTTCGGTAAGGGCCCGGCCTGACAACGGATCGACATGACATGAGCACACATGACGGATGAATCATCGTTCCATCCACAGGAGCGTCTGTTGCGGCGTGTGCAAGAGCGAGTCCAGGGGGTGGAGAGCAGAATCGATGCACTTGCAACCCGGCATGACGAGAGGGCGGCTGCGGTAAGTAAGTATGTAAGCAAGTGGACGGATGGATGGATGGATGGAGCAACTGTATCCGCACACGAGTGGTGCCCGCCATACTCGTCCGTGTGTCTGTAACTGTGTTTGCGTCCTCCGCGTACGTATCTCGATCTGCAGGACCTTGAGATATCCCGCCAGCTGCACCGCAGCTTTCAGCGCCACACGGACACCCAGGCGTCCATCAACCAAGAGCTCAACAAACGGCACGCAATATGCCACACACACCTCACGCAGACACCCGAATCGATGCACAGAAAAAATCACTCAAAACGAACGAATGTCTCTGTGTTCTGTGTCTCCAGGCTGGATCAACTGGAGCAGCATCGCATCAAGGCTGAGCGTGAGACGGCCACAATGGCAGAGAGCATTCGGTCGCTGCAAAGGGAGTTCAGGGACTACACAGTGGAGAATGCCGCCAAACAAAGGTATACTGTCAAGGAAGGAAGAGACACATCCATATGGCAGCTGACTGATCACCTGCCCATTTCACGTACTGTCATCTCGGATGGACAGGGAGGAGCTGTGCAGATTGGTCCAGGACGAATTCCAAAAGAAGGTCCAACCGTGACACACAAAAGAGAGCCGCCAGCCGTCATGGACGTATGTGTGCATCAATCAGTTGGACTCCGACAGCGAGTGGAAGGCAGCCCAGTCCAAGCAGGCCTTCACGAGCGCCAATGAGATGCAGCGGATGAGGGCCATGTGTCTGGAGGTCGAAAACCAGCTGCACGCACTCAGGTGGACAGCCGTACCGTACCGCACACCATCAATCAGTGTGCACACAACCTGAGAGCAAGCAAATCCAGTCAGATTAAAGCACTTGTCTGTCTTTCCGTGCATGCAGGTCTGAGATGACGGGTCGTGTGGCTGCGTTGGAGGTAGATCGTCAGCTGCACCGTGACGCCCCCCGCCAGAGCAGCTACGTAGACGACGAGAGCCTCACCGAAGATCTCCCTCCCTCCCGAGTCAGCATCGCCCCACCACCAGACGAAGAATCCACACTCCAGAGCCAACTTGCAGGCGTAAGTGATATACACATACGTGACTGCAGTGACGACAAGACATGAATCGGTGCGGTGCGTGCAGCTTCAGATTGTGGCTCAGCGAGAGACGATCAGCCCATCCCTCCCGTCCATTATTGTCAGCAAGCCCCGTTCCCGATCGCCCCCGAGGAGGGAGGGCGGCGCTGTGACGGAGGGCGATGGGAGAGGCAGCACGTGGCTGGCACTCCCGCAGGAGGGTGAAGGCAAGGGCAGGAGGGACTCGCCAGTGAGACAGCAGATGGAGCTCATCCGACAGGCACAGGTGATCGAATGAGTCGAATGCACGGCCGACCTGCTCATGCTCCCTTTCCGTGTGCAGACGTCTCTGTCGAACCAGCTGTTTGACTTGTACGTGGCGTTGGAGAATGAGAAGAAGCGTCAGAAGGGAGAGCACGCAACACTCCAGCAGAGCATGGAGGAGATGAAGCGGGCGGCACAGAAGCAGCAGGAGGGACTCAAGGGCACCATCGGGCAGGACGTTGACGACCTGCGAGAGAAGGTAGGTGATCCATATATATGTCATCCATCACTTAAAGCAGGATGCAATCGCTCACATCGTGTCGACACGTGTGTATGTCTGTCTCCTGGCTGATCGGATCGGTAGGTGGGCATCCAGAGGAAGGACTTGCTGCAGCGCCACTCTGACCTGAGAGAAGACCTGGCCCAGCGAGACAGCCAAACACTCGTGCAGGTGAGCGGAGCTACCTGCGCCCAGACATCCTCACCTCACGTGGTTGGCATCCATCTGGATGCATTAATTGACAGATTGAGAAGGTGGAGCAGAAGATGCACGGGCAGCTGGAGACATTCAAACACAGACAGGTATGTTATGTATATGGACGGTTTCGTGTGCGAGGGGACTCATTCATTCATTTGCCATGTGGTCTCTCTCTGGACCGGATGCATCTGTGCAGGAGACAGATATTGTCGGGTTGAGGGACTCGCTCACGATGAAGATACAGACACTCACGCAGAATATGAATGCCACCGAACAAGCCAGGCAAGCCCAGCGCGCAAACCGACGCACCACACGAGACACTCCCCGGGACAACATTGTGTGTGTTACAGGATGATGGCCATGCAGAGCTTGAACAAGCGCGTGGAAGACTTCCAGAGAAGACAGTCAAGAGATATCCAAACCATCCGTGGAGAGGTGAGGTGCGTGGGAAGCTGGCTTTCCATCCACCATACCTGCAGTGAGTGCACCGCACATTCACCTCACGCATGTACTGACTGTATGACCTTTCTCGTCTTCATGTCATGTGCAGCTGACGCAGCAGCTGGCAGAGCTGCAGAAGTTCGTCACAGACCAGCTTCACGACTGCCGCACGTCAGCCAACGACCTCCTCCTGTCCCTAAAGACCGGCATCCATCTCTGCCAGGAGCAGCAGAATACCACCAAGACCAACCTAATGAACCACATCGACCGCCTTCACACCGATCTCATGGAGAGTAGGAAGGAGGGCGCACTAAAGGCGGAGCGGCTCAGTCGATATGTGGATGACCGCGTTTCCAAAATCGATGCCAATCTCAAGCAGAAATATCGCAAGTGAGGAAGGATGCAGGCGGATGAATGCGATCTGTGCACTCTGTGTCTGTCCATCGTGCTGCAGGATAGAGGAGAGTCTTGCGTCTCTGGTCAAAAAGCTGGAAATGTCAAATCAGGCACATCAAGAGACTCACAACGTAGAAACGAAGAGAGAGGGAACGAGAGGCACATGTGCTAGGTATGGTGCTCGCCTGTGTGTGTGTGTGCAGGACATCCTGCGGGCTGTTGAGGAGAAATGGGAAGACATTACTAAGCGCCTCCTCCACATGCAGGAGGGCCACAGTGCCAGCATCACTCTGGAGCGGCGGCACACCGACACGATGCTGCAGTCGATCAACGAGGCCATGAACCAGGTGCAGGAGAGTCTCCACCAGCGGCTCGACGACTACACCCGGCAATTCGACGCCAACATCAACTCGCTGCGCCTGGCGCTCCTCCATGGCCATCATCAACTCCCGCCCCCCTCACAAGCAGACGAGCAGCCAGGAGACGCTAGTCCTGTCTTCATCACAGAGACACATGTGGCGTATCCAGATACGGACCCGCACCTTCGGAGAGAGCCGCCGTCTGACGGTCAAGGAGAGGCCGAGCAAGAACCCGTCTCTGCCGAGCGGTCCGTGGACGAGCATGACACGCTGTGGCACGTGCGGGGCAGCATTAAGGTCCGGGAGAATCGAGACGGACAAGCTTATGTGACGATGCCTGCCCGACCACCACCCTCAGAAGATGACCAGGACGAGTCCTATGGACAAGACGATGAATGGCAGCAGGAAGAGCAGCAGCAGCGGCAGCAGCAGGAAGAGGAGGACGAGGGCGACTTTGACGATCGACAAGACGACGAGCGAGAACTGGCTGCAATGATGGTGTCCGACGTGCTGCGCCTCGGTGACCATGGGGGTGACAATGCACCAGAATACGATGCAGAGGAGTTTGAGGATGCCGGCGATCTGAGCGGTGATGGGCTGGACAATGATGATGCAGACCCACCGCCGCCAGCTGCGGACAACGAGGCAGCGGAAGGAGACACATTTCCCTGAAAAGGTAAATAAGGGAAAGAAGGCCTACGCGAGTGCTTCTGGGTCGTTAGTAGTTCTATGTATGCATAGGCAGACGCATGCGATGCGTGATGTGGGACCTTCTTGTATGGTCGCGTGAGTCTCTCAATAGTGCAGGGCCACTCTCACACGCACAAATGCGTGAACGTCTCCTGCACACACACGACACTGCTTTCAGGCCTTATGTCTGATAAGCATTCGAATGAGCACGTCAGTCAGCCCCTCCGACTTGCAGTGGAAACAAGCCTCTCTCAGACTCAAGGCGTGCGAAAGGGATGGAGGGAGGTATTTGGGAGGTAATGCAATTAAGGACGCGCAGACAATACACCGCTTTACACCAGACCGACACTGACAGAGCGAGCCATCGACCGACGTCGTGTGAAACGCGTTCTTTGTCCCGGCCGTCCGCCGTCCGGACCATGCATCGCATCACGTCATGTCATGTGCGTGTAGCGTAGAATCCCTACCGACTACCTAGCTAAGCTATGTCTCTCTTTGTGTGTGTTCTTTTTCTGTCTTTCTGCCTGTACACCACACCACACCGCACCGAAGCCACGCGTCAGACACCCACATCCACACACGCACACACGCACGGCAAACAAATAGACAGACGCGTCCGTCCGTCCGTCCGTCCTGTCGGCTACTGTGCTGCTGGTGGTGTGCATCTAATAATACTACTACTACTACTACTGTAGCTCGAAAATGGGGCTCGTCTTCTGCCAGAGATCCTTGAAGAAATCGTAGAACACACCCGACGCAGACACCTGACACACACACGCACACACACGCACCGGAACAGAAGAGCTCGAGCTCTCTCTCTCTCTCTGTGTGTGTGTGTGTGTGTGCCATCCGCTCATGTGAACACTGACTGACTTTGTACGGTGTGGGGTTTTCTGTTCGCAGGTGGTCGGAGCGGACCATCTTCAGCGACTGGATGCAGTGGTCGCGGCACTCCTGATGTGACATATGTGTGTGCAAGGAGATGATAGATAGGGACAGACAGATGGCCAAATCGAAACACACGCCGTACCTGCCTGCCTGCCTGTCCTCTCTGGTGCTCACCTTGAGTGATGGTCGGTGTCCGACGGATTTGCCCTCCTGCCATATGCACACCAACAGCTGCTCAACCTACACACACACACACACACAGACATGCAAACACAGTCACAGCCATACCGGACCGAAGTGCCCGTGTCGTGTCGTGCGCTCTCTGCCGCACCCTGCTCGGCACGACGTAGCACCGTTTGGTCTCGTCAAAGAGATGTCTACAGAAGATCCGGTCGCCCTCTTTGGGAGGGGGATCGGCCGAGTGCTGACCACACCACACGGCCCATCACACCACACAGAGAACGACAAGCGGGGAGGGGCCAATGTGGGACGTTTGTTCTATGTGTAAGTCAGTGATTGATGTGGATGTGCCACTGACTGTGGGTCCCCGGGATTTACCTATTTACCTGCATCATGTCGAGAACGGCCACTCCGCTGCGCGCGTAGAGGCGGTAGAGGGCCTTGCGGCACGGGATGGACGTCTTCTCAACATCCTGTTTGACCGACCGACCGGACACACGCGGGCAGTGCAGTGCATTGGCAATCAATGCACAAACACGGGTGTGGTGGGTCGGGTGAGTGACCGAATGACCTGTGAGAGCTTCATTCGTGGAGTGCTGTCGAGCTCGGCCAGCTTGTAGACCTGCACACACGACACGGACACACACACGCACAATGCAATAAGTGTGCAGTAAGTAACCGCACCGCATCCTCCCGGGGGCATGTGTGTGTATACGTATTTCTGTGAGTGCACTGACTGCTCGAGTGTACCATTCCCAGAGCGGGCTGCGCCTGGCACGTGACGAGGTGCGTCCCAATGCCGAAACTGTCCAGCTCGTGACCCTGCACACACACACACACACACACCCAGGCCATGCCATGCAGCCGTCCACCTATCATCGCTTGAACATGTGTGTGTGAGGGTGTCTGTCTGTCTGCCTGCCTGCCTGACCGCACCTCTTGGTTGAGTGCCATGATGACCTTCTCGTTGATGTCGTTGGACGCCACGATCGCCAGGCTGTCAAACGGCACGTCGAACTGACACACACACACACGCACGCACGCACGACGTGCAGACGTGGTTCGTCATCAAGCAGACAGACACACCACACACCACACACACACACACACACATACCGCCTTGCTCGTCGCTTTGAAGAGCTTCCGGGCCTCCCTGTGAGCAGCGCACGCGCACAAAGAGAATCCTTCCCCGTGTGTGGGTGAGCGCGTGTGGGTGTCCCTACTTGCTGAGGTATGCGAGATCGCCGCTGTCGAGCCGAATGCCCCGCGCCTTATAGCCCAGCGAATGGAGCGCCAATGCCACCATCAGGAAGTTGCACACGCCTGTGTGGATGTGATGTGTGCAGCATAGCATTGTTTGACATAATATGCCGTCCATCGTCTGTGAGGGTCAGTCATTCCCTGACTGACTCAGGTACCTGAGTGAATGGTGTCGTATGTGTCGACGAGGGCCAGACAGTTCTTGGGGAACGACTGGCAGACAAACAGACAGACAGACAGACAGACAGAGAGCACGTGAGCAGGCAGACACAGAGTGCCCGTGTGTGCGGCAAATACACCCTTACACACATACAGACATACATACCAGTGCGTATGAGATGAATGCGGCGAGCTCCCCCTCGTTCTGCATGGTGGGCTTGGTGGCGACCTTCCTGTTGAACTCGGCGCGGTACTGCAGCACCTGCACACACACACACACACACACATGGATGGATGGATGGTGGTGTGGTTTATATGGTTGGTACCAACCAGCTGCACGAAGTCTTCGCACGTCCCGAGGGGCTTGGGCTCGCCCTCCAGATCCCTCAGACCTGATTGATTCATTGACACACACAACACGCACATTCATCCGCGCGCCACACACGCGCAAACCACCTGCTTACCTTCGAAAGATGTGACGAAAGCGTGCGCATGGGTCCCTGGCATGACGCACATTACACATCACACACACACACACACACACACACAGACACAGACGCAGAGAAGAGAGAGAGGCAGAGACCCACATGTATCTGTGTGTATGGGATCCACCCAGACCAGAGACGCACATACCGACGACAGGGATGCCAAAGAGGTGTCCGGCGCGCACATTCGAAGTGCCGTGGAACCCACCCAGATACGAATAACGGCTCGCAGACATGGCGCCGTCAGGACCTGAACCAACCAGCCAACCAACACAAGACGACACGACACGACAACGTACACGTACCCACTCCATCCATCCATCCATCCATGTGAACAGGACACACACGTGTCTGTCTGTCCCGCTGCGCACCTTGCGCTCTCCTTGTGCCGAATTCGAGCAGCTGGATGGGCCGGTTGCCGGGGTTGGCCGCACTCGCCATGGCGTGCCTGCATCCATCCATCCATCCACACCATAAGCCCATCGAGGTATATCCCCCCATGCATTGCATTGAATGCGTGAACCAAGTGCGTGTGTCAGTTGTGATTGACCTGGCTGCGTTCGTCGCCACAAGGGACGCGTAGTTGAGCAGGTTGAGCAGAGGCGTCTCCTGCACAGACACACACACACAGGAACAGTGCAGTCGTGTGCACACAACACAAACAAATCAGACGGCTGTGGAAGAAGCCCACCCACCCACCAGGAGTTGGCAGACCGCGAGAGGCCCCTCGATGCGCATCAGAGGCTCCTTGGCGAACACAATGGAGCCTTCCGGGATCGCTGCACGCCCATCGAATCGACCCACACACAAACACACAAAGGCTTTAGACTATGGGTCCGATGCGTAGATGGCGGGCACACAACCACCACGGCAGGCGCATGACTCACCGTACACGGTGACCTTGGAGCAGTCCAGCTTCTTGAGGAAGTCAAAGAAACCCTCCTTGGCTGTCGGTAGCTGACCCCTAAACACACACACACACACACACACACACAAAGAAACAGACGCACAGGTCGCTGGGCTGGTTTTGTCTTTGTTGGTGTGTGTTTGTGTGTGTGATTCACTTGAGGTATTCGATTTGGTCGTTGGAGAAGTGGAACGTGTTGAGGAAACGGACGGCCTCCTCCACACCAGCGATAATGGCAAACTCCTGCAGACACACATACACACACACACACACACACACACACAGAGTCACTCATCCATCCATCCATCCACCCATCAATCAGTCCATGTGTGTGTGCTTTGCTTTGCTCACTGACTGACTGACTGACCCTCTCCTCACCCACCCCGTGGAACGGGCATTTCCTGAAGAACAGGTCGAAGACGGCGTGCTGATTCTCCTTGCCAGCCTTCCAATACGCATAACCTTAGTAAGGCACACATGTCAGTCATAACACACGGCGTGCAGTGCACCATCTGTGTCAGTCACTCATCTCCCTCTCTCTCTCTGTGTCTGTCTGTCTGTCTGCGTACACATGGTGATTTGGTAGAAGTCCGTCAGGGTGCTCTCGACCGCCTCCGAGTGCGGCAGACCCACACTCGGGTCCAGCTGTGGGATCTCATTGCGGTCACGCTGCACAAAGAATGACACACACCACACACCCACAATTCATTCTTCCGTCAATGATTCCTGTGCGCCTGCCTGCCTGCCTGCCTTCCTGTCTGATTCCCTCCCGCAGGTTTGTCCGTCCGTCCGTCCGTCCGTGCGTCCGTGCGTACCCATACAAGCTGCGCCGACATGCGGCGCTCCCATGTGGTGCCGCACGAGTTGAGCGGCGACCGTGGCGAGCCGTACTCGTCCACCTCCACACCTCTCGACTGCTGGGCCATCAGGTGCTGATGCTGCTCCTGGCTCACGGAATCCGACATCCGTGTGTGTGCCACACCCACACGAAAACGAAACGATCGACGGAACGAGTGAATGAAGAATCGCGGCCCACTTAATGCCAGGAGAAGGGAAAGGAATGCTGCAGGAGTTGTCGGCAGGAATGACGAGGTGGTAGGTTCATTCCTCTCCTCAGATCGCCATAAAGCTCGCACTGCTCAAGTCCCTGAAACGCTGCTGCTCAAGCAATGGAAGTACGTAACAATGGAAGGTAGGCAGTGTGCAGCACAGGTGTTGGCAGCAGCAGCGAGATCTCACAAGAATGCACTGCTTTGTCCCCCTCAGGACACAGGCGGTCTTCGATGCTGGTGCTCACTGTTTTGAGAGCATCCCTCATTCCGTCATCTCGAGGAACACAAGAAAAGCACTCCTCGAGATCCATCTCCGATGGCGAAACCGGGTGACCGGGGCAGCCTGATCCGCCTGGCCATCAGTGACCTCTATCAGGAGCTGCAAGTGAGTGAGCCTGGCGGACGCCTGCACCGCACACATCAACACACCAACGCACCGGCGATGGATGTGTGTGTGTCCATGTGGTCTGTCTGATCTGGTCTGGTGCAGTGGTGTCTGGCGTTGGCCTTGTTCGAGGCACCTCCCCTGTCCCTCCCCACCATCACCTCGCCCGAGGCCCTCCAGAAATTCGACAGAATCCTCACACAGCCCCTGCAGCAACAGCAGCCATCGACAGCACCACCACTAGCAGCAGCAGCAGCAGCAGCTGGGGACACCACCCAGCAGCAGCAGCAGCAGCAAGGTTCATCGGCAGACCAGCCGAGGGCGGCGCAGGGCCAGGCCGCTGCGGCCAAGCCGAAGCCGAAGCCAAAGGTCAAGGTCAAGACCACCAGGGCCTCCGGCAAGGGGCGCAGCAAGAAGAAGTTATCCAAGAAGGATCGCGAGAAGGAGAGAGAGCTGCAGAAGGAGCGGCAAAGGGAGAGGGAGAGGGAGCTGGAGAGGGTCCGTGACAAGGAGAGGCGGCGCAGGGAGCGGGAGAGAGAGAGGGCGGCCAGTGGGCTCTCCCGTGAGTCGCTGCAGCGGATGATGGACGAGGAGCGGACGAGGCTGCGCAACGGCCGCGAGATGGCCGATGTGTTCGACGGTGCGGTGGAGGAGAGGGTGCGGCGGCTGACGGGCCACTACACCAAGCTGAGGCGGTTCATCTGTGGCGGAGAGGATCCCATGATGCCGCCGTTGCCCACCAGCCTCAAGAAAGAGGTACACACGTGGGCGGCTGGCACGGCACGAGTGTGTGTGTGTGTGTGTGTAAGTGTGTGTGTGTGGTTTCAGTCTGATTACGGTAGGGAGGTTGCGGAGCTTCAGCAGGCCAGCGCCTTCCTCGACCAACAGCCGCTGGTACTTCAGCGATCTGCCGGTTCGCTACGCTGGCTGGGCACAGCACAGCACAGCATAGCATAGTAGATAGAAATGGTACCTCCCTCTCTCTCTGTGTCTGTGTTGTGTCGATGTGTGTGGTTGAAGGTGAGTTCCGTGACACCGTTGAGTGCGGTCTTCGGTGGGCGGTGGGCGGGGAGCTGACGCGACAGGGGGCGACGGTGGCGATGGGCGGAATGGGTCGTGGAGAGGGCCACGGGGGGGCAGATGACCAGGTCATGCTGAAGAATGGCGTCGGCTGATCTGTGTAATGCATGCTGTGTGTGTGTGTGTGTGAGCAGGGAGAGACAGACCGACCGACACACTCGATGAGCGTGTTTGTGTGGGAGCATGTCGAGTATATAGGATATGTGTGCGTGTCGACTGTGAAAGTTACACACGTCATTGTGACGAGAATGTGGTGAGGACTGACGTACATTTGTGTGTTTTAAAGACGGATGTGTGTGTGTTTCCTTCATTCGTTTAGGTGACCATCGTCCATCAGATCGGCCGATATAGACGTGAAATGTTTGTTCCTCGCCACCTGTTGCCCATTGCCCCCTCCCCCAGACATACACACACGGCGGACAGACGGCACACGGCACACCACACCACATACACTAGACAGCATGGCCGGACGGTGTACCGCTATCCCCCACACACAGACGGACACACAGACAGGAATGTGACATTCCGTAAGCGAAGGGGTCGGTTGGCCCACCATCAAGGGCCGAACACGCCCACCCCGCACACACACAATTTCACCCCCTTGCAGGCAGCCAGAGAGAGAGACGGTTAGCTGCAGATCGACCAGGTCAAGCCACACCCACACACACTGCACGCAGTGCACCCCCCCATAAGCAAGGCACCCAGCCAATCCACCCATAAGTTGTGTTCCCCCCCTTCGTCACTGTGTGTGTATGTGTATGTATGTGTGTGTTTGGAGGCATGCAGCCATCTACGGTCTCTCTCTACCCGGTGCCCCCCTCTTGCTACCAGTCTGTCTATCAGTCTAGTATGTCAGAGAGACGGTCTCCTTCTTGGCGACGTACTGCACACACACACACACACACACACAGACCCACATGCGTGTTGACACAGGCACACCAGCTCTCTCGTCAAATCTAATCGCCTTTCTTTGGAACAGTACGTACGTACTTTCTTTTCGCAGTAGGGGAAGTTCATTTTATAGTTGCCGTGGCTCTGGGGGCTCCCGTCTTTAGTGCCGTATTTGTAGCGCAGCGTGCCCTGCTCGCAGAAGTACTTCTCAGTGCTGCCGCCCAAGCTGCTCTGGAATGGCAGGATGCAGGTGCCTGTTTAGCACTTGCCGCCCATTGTCTGTGAGCCCATATCCAGCTGGCAGATGCCGGCTTCGTTGCACAGCTTGTACTTAAGTGATGCTGGTGGGTTCTAAGTCGGATTTGCTGATGCCACACACACTGCAACTCTCTGCACACAGACACACAGACAGACAGACAGACAGACAGACGGAGAGAGAGAGAGACACAGATAGATAGACATTCCAGTGTGATGCTCGTCGTGTGTGAATCCACCCACCGACTGTCTGTGTACCTTTGGTGGCGAGCTGCTGGTGGATGTTGTTGATGGCTTGGAGGGCGTTTGCGGCCATCGTGCTGGACGCCTGGCTCATCTTGCTGGACGCCTCCATCATGCTCTTGTCCTGCTGCACGTTCTGCTGCACGAGCGACAGATGGCCAGAGACACCTGCACACACACATTGCACACACCAGGCAGCAACACACATCCATCCATCCATCCATCCCTGCCACCACGGGCGCAGTGCGGTCATCTCGTATCAGCTGTGTGTGCCGTGCATGTGTGTGTGCCGCACACACCGTTGTTGCTGTGGGTGCGGGCGGTCTGCAGGCGGGAGATCTCGTTAGTGCGGTCCAAAAACGATGCATCTGCACACAGCGGACAGCACACAGCGGACAAGTAGGACAGCCACATATGGCTCAGGAGTGACGTATACGCCATAGATCTGATCAGATGCACCCACCAGTGTAGCAGTCCTCGCCCTAGCAGTAGTTGCTGTACATGGCCGAGGCCACAGCTACGGAACAGACGGCCGCCAAGGCGATGAGGAGCGCATACGAGGGACCCTTCATCGCTGCCAGCAACCAAATCGAAAACGCTCTTTCTCGGAACAGACGGAGAAAGCGAAAAACTTGCCGAGATGCCAGGGCACCGCGATCCTCCCCTCAAACAAACGGGATCCGCATGCATTTGGATTGAGGACATTTGGATTGAGGACATCGGAGCTGGTTGGCTGGTGGAGCGGTTGAGGACATCGGGGGAGAGATCGCCATAAAGCTCGCACTGCTCGAAGGAGGACCGCTCTCACGAAGGCTGCTCGTCAGGAAGGTATGCACGCAGTGTGCAGCACAGGTGTTGGCAGCAGCAGCGAGATCTCACAAGAATGCACTGCTTTGTCCCCGTCAGGACAGCCGGGGTCTTTCTATCTTATCTTCGATGGATTCTTCAGTGATGTCATCGCCGTGCTGGTGCTCACTCTCGCGGAGGCCTGCGAGCTAATACCGCCGTAGGGCACTTGAGCGGACTCAATACATCTCGCTGTGTGAGGATGAAGGCTCCGAAGGGCGGGAGCAAGAAGAAGCAAAAGCAGCAGTCGGCCCACCCCAAGGACTTCGAGAAGGTGAGGCAGAAGGTGGGCAAGCGGAAGGTGCGGCCGCACAACGAGCTGCAGACGGCCGTCAAGGCCAAGCCCATCGCCGTCCCTACTCAGTCGGTCCTCCTCGACAAGGGCGACGAGACCACCGCCAGGCAGCAGAACCTGCAAGACCTCATCGCACAGGTCAGCCAGCAAAGCCGATGGATGACCACTCGTTCATTCACTCGCCTGTGTGTGTGCTCTCTCTCTCTCTCTCTGTGTGTGTGTGTGTGTGTAGGTTCGTCATCACAACTTCACCACTCGTCGGAATGCCATCCAGGGCATCCGTGAGCTGCTGACCAAGTACCCACACGCCCTCCGCTCCCGGCTGGGCATGGTCCTGCAGGAGACCGCGTGTGCTGCGGTCGACGAGGACGCCACGGTGCGGCGGAACTACAGACTCTTTCTGGAGGGCGTCCTCACTCACACAGAGGGAGAGGGAGAGGGAGAGGTGGTCGCACCGGCGACAGCAGCAGCTGCAGCAGACTTGTCGGCGTACGGCAACCTGCTGTCGGCCTACCTCAAGAGGTCAGTGAGTGACCAAATGCGGTGCGTGAGGCAGGCAGGCAGGTATGTGTAGGCTCATCTGTGGTGTTGGTGCAGTTGCCTGACGCACGTGCGTCGTGACATCCGTGAGGAGGGCAGTGAGATCCTGGAGCTGTACGTCAGGCACCGCCCGGCACTCATCCGTGGTCTGCTGCACGAGCTGCCCGCGCTCCTCTGCGGCCTTCTCGAGGGCTCTGCTCGGACGCACACCGTACTAGCATGCCTACACAGGTTGGTTACTGGGGGAGGGAGGGAGGGAGGGTGGCACAAGGCCGTGATTGGGTGGAAAAAGATGGCATGTTGTGTGCAGGGTGCTGGAACAGCAACTGGACAACCGTGGACCGACTGCTGGTGAGCCTGATCATCAGCGAGAGGGGGATGTTGCGCAACTGTCGCTGCAAGACGTTATCAGCGAGTCGTGGCGCATCGGGGGGTCTGTGTCAACACTGACGACACACAAACAGGTGGGCTCATGGCAGACACACCCCGTGAGAATGAGAGATCCGTTGTGGCCTGCGTCTGTCTGTATATTTGTCTGTGTATCTGTTTGTGTCTGTGTGTCAGGGCGGCCCACCGGCATCAGATTACAACCGTCTGCTGCGTCAGCTGGTGCACCTCTGGCTGGAGCAGCAGCCGTCCGCCGCCACCCTCGCCGAAGCCGCGGTACCCACATGGATAGCCAGCCAGCAGGGCAGCCGGCCAGCCGGCCCGCAGCACACCCACACCATATGTGTCCCCGAATGGCATGTGCATCAGGTCGGGGGCGCCAAGAGGTCCAAAGTGTCTGAGGAGGTCTTGCAGAGGCTGCAGCGACAGCTCAAGTGCGTCGGTGGGTGAATGGGTGGGTGAATCACCAAGCAGCATGATGTCTACGGTGTCCGTGTTTGTCTGTCTGTCTGTCTCTGTGTATGTTCAGGAGTTTGGACGTGATGCTGCTTCTCACCGAGCTGTGCGCCACTCGCCGCGCCGCACCCGTCGATGCAGCGGTTGGACAGACAGACAGACAGGCAGGCAGGCCGGCCGGCAGGCAGGCCGGCAGGCAGGCACACACGCACCCAGACCCATCCACCAACCAAAGGGTGAATGACGGTGCGGTGCACTGCATGTGTTTCTGCAGGTTGTGGATGACCTGACGAGTCAGATCTTCGCCCTCTTCCCTCTCAGCCGCGTCACGCCCCCAGGCGTCAACAGGGAGGTACGTATTCAACACCACACACAGGCCAGGTCACCCTGGTGCGCATCGCATCCGTGTGTGCATGGTGCGTCATGGGTGCGTCTATCAGGTGTACCAGCAGGCGATAGAGTCCAGCAACACTCGGCTGGCCCAGCTGGTGCTCCAGGTCACCGATGCCGCTCTCACACAACACACAGCAGCCGCCACAGGCAGCAGCAGCAGCAGCACCAGCACCGTCCTGCGACAGAGGGAGGACCAGGGTGAGAGAAACGGGGTAGCGGATGGCTTACGGCTCGGCTGCTGTCGTGATACTATGTTTGTTGCCCTGTTGAACCAACAGTATCGCAGCAGCGGGTGCACAAGCTGCTCAAGTATGTGCGGAGGGTGCTGGAGCACCTCGAGCTGCGGGCAGACACACACAAGGGCGGCCCCTTCCTCAAGACGCAACGGCCGACAGCCACAGCGACCGACTCGCCACACACCAGCAGCACCATCAGCAGTAGCTATGGCATATCCGCCCGGCTTCAGCAGGTGTATGTGTTGACAGGCAGCATCTACTGCCTGCTCTACCGACGGCTGCCCGAGGCCATCACCACCACTCTCCCTCTCCCTCATCCACACAGTCACACCGACACGGTCGACGCGCCAGCAAAGAGCAGGACCAAGGCCGCCACCGAGCAGCAACACCATCAGCTGCCCCAGCTGCTGGCCCACCTGCGCACGCACTTCGAGAGAGTCGTGCACCGCCTCTACTGGCCTGCTTCGCAACAGGAAGAACAGGATACCAGCGCACAGAGGCCTGATGGTGACCAAGCCCACCGGCCCAACGAAGACACTCGCACCGACGCAGACGACGTCGGAAGCCGTCCGTCGGTCTTCACTAAGCTGAGCCGCGAGCTCACCCAGGACCGCCGCAACTCGTCCAAGAAGAGACGTTCTGATGGCGTGGCCGGCGGGCTGGCCGACGGGCCGGCCGACAAGAGGCAGAGGCGCGACGAGGCGACGGTTGACGAGAAGAGTGAGCCGACAGGGAGGGGGTTTGTCATCTGGCAGTCCTCGGTAGGGTGTCTCCTCCTCACTGCAGCCCTGCAGGGAGGTATGTACCCAACCAACTACAGCAAGCACCCACCCATCCATCCGTTGATCCATCTGTCCATTTCTCTCTCGCCTGTCCTTTGTGTGTGCAGTGGACTTTCGGCAGCTGCCCGTGTCGGTGCCCCCCGAGCTGATGCAGCTGTGTCCAGGGGCGTGCAGAGGCCCCCCACTGCCGCTGGTCTCTCGAGACGGCTCTGGTTGTGGCGGCGGTGGTGGTTTGGTGTCCCGGCACAGGTGGCCGGAGCTGTGGCCCAAGCTGCTCTTCTACCTCAAGGATACCAACCCGCCCCTGTCGGAGTTGCTGCTCGCACTGGTGCTGCACATGTGCAGAGACACCACAGAAACAAGGTAGGTGGGTGGCTGGTGGGTGGCTGGTTGGTTGGTGGGGTGGCGACGCAACCGGGCTGCATGTGTGTTGTGTTGTGTATGTGTGGATCTGTCTGCCTGCCTGTCCGTCCGTCAGGGCGAGTGCCCAGCAGCTGCGGACGCGGCTGCTCGTTGCATCGGTGAGCGGATAGTGCGATTCAACACCGACCACCCACCGTGTGTATGCTTGTCCATCCATCCATCCATCCATCAGGTGCCCTTTCTGGTGGGCTCGAACTCGTCGCCGCCAGTCGTGGTGGGGCTGCCGCTGTCCACCCAGCTTCTGGCGGTCGCCTTCGTGCCTCACCTCCTGCACATGACCAAGATGCCCGCAGCGCTGCTCGCTCGCCTGGCCGCACTCGTGGTGGTGGGAGAGGCAGGGGCGGGACGTGACGACGGCCATGTACCGGTGCTGCATCGAGCTGCGCGGGAGCTGCTCGTGGAGGTATGGATTGGCGCAGAGAGGTGACGCTCTCTCCGCGCGTTATCCTCAGCTAGAGCTGGTATGTTATATATTGTGGCTTTTCTGTGTCAGGCGGTTGTGGGCATCCCCGTCTGCAGCGCGCTGCCGATGGAGGCCCGGCTGCAGTTTGTGATGACCATCCTGCACAAAGACGGCCAGAGTTTGATTGATGGTGGGGGTGGTGGCGGCATTGAGCCACTGGACCGCCACTGGTCGCTGCTGCGGGTGGCTGCCCGGGCGCTGGCGCGGTGTCCAGCGATGCCGCAAGTGCGATCAGCCGAGGAAGTAGGCATGAGCATGCACGCATGCACACGTGTCTCACTCACACCTATGCGCCATATATCCCTTTCCCTCTCTCTGTGTGTGTGTGTGTCAGGCCCTTGAAGCGGTGCAAAACGTCGCACTGCCCCTCACTCGTATCCTGCCTGACGGCACCAGCAGCAGCACCACCAGCAGCGCCGACACGGCAGCATCAGCACCCTCGGCGTCCGGCCTGCTGTTCCTGCATCTGTTCGTCACGTCTCTGATACCCACACCGTTCCACAGACTGTGGGGGGAGGAAAAAGTCGACCAACAGATCAGAGAGAGAGGCGATCGGCTTGTGGCTTGCGGTGCCGGCAGCGAGGAGGTGGCGCTGGCCGTCGTCAAGGCGTGTCTGGAGGACCTGCCGCCACCGCCCCCTTCTGGCGCGTCGGTGAAACAGATCATCGACATGGCAGGGTCTGATGCAGGCACGGTCGATCAGCTGCTCGGAAAACTGCTCGACGGTGAGCACGCACACGCAGCCGCAAAACATGTGTTGGTATGTTTGCTATTGCCATTCATTTCATTCATTCATTCAGAGCGTCTGCTGTCTTCCTTCGGCCTCGATATGGACCAGCCCAACATCTCCCTCCCTAACGATATCGGCGCATCTGCATGTCGGCCGTCGTCCCTCGCGCTTGTCGGCGCCTTTTTCACCATCCTCTTGGCCACCTCCTCCCCGTCTGTCCCCCGTCAGCTCGACGACGGCTACTCCAATCTGCTCCTGCTGGTGGTGCGGATGCTCGCCACACACCTGAGCGACTTCAACGGCAGGGCGCTGCAACTTTTGGAGGTGGTGGTTGCGTCGATCGTCTTCCGCAGCCACATGGTGGGCAGTCTGGCGCTGGCCGAGCGGAGCGACGATTCGAAGAGACGGATGCGGGAGGTGCGTGATAGCCTGAACGGGAGCATTCGTGTGCCGGAGGGCGAAGTGTACGACGGCAGTGGCTTGATGGCAGCGGGAGTGGGGGCTGGAGGTGGGGGTGAGCCTGAGCTGGCGTCGAGGGTGACCGTGTTGACGGGTGCTTTGTCGAGGCTGCTCGAGGGACAGATCTGACTGACTAGCTCGGTGTATGTGGGTGGGTGGGTGGGTGGGTGCACAGGCAGGCAGGCAGGCAGGCAGGTGGCTGGGAGAGGATACGTACGAGGGTGTGGTAGGGATGGATCGATGTCAAGACGAAAAGCGACATATCGACTGGCGGTGTTTTGAGGTGTGAAGGCCTTGATGGAAACACTCAGAAAGACAGAGGTGTGGTGTGAGTGTGAGGCCGAAATGTGTCTCTCACTCAAATCGACGAGGGCAAGTTCAATAACCTCGACCGAAACCACAAATTGCAGATCGATGCATACACACACGAGTCAATGAATTCACTCTGTAGATGTGTGTGTGTGTGTCTTCACGCCCGACATGAACACCCCAAAAGGCTCGACTCGTCCTGCCTGCCTGCCTGCCTAATGCCCCACTCGATGACTCACTCACTCAGATGAACAACAAAGTACAGAAGCGTCAAGGGGCAGAAAGCCCACTGGCTGCTGGCGGGCTGGCTCAGTGCGTTGGTCATATCTGTCCGCCTCTCGGCTTCTTGACTCTTTCCCGGCCCTTCTGCCGTCTTTTTCTCCGCCCGCCCTCACCCTCCTGCATCCGATTCGTGGGCGACACACACACACAACAGCACACGTGGAGGAGGCAAACAAGGCAGGCAGCCTTCAGCCAGCCCCGTGTTTGTGTACCTTCTCGGCGTCCCTCCTGGCGGCTTTGATGATTTGTGCCACCGTGCCCGACGTCATGCCGCAAAAGGGAGACCAGGTGAAGGTGCGCTCATACTTCTGCAGCACAGTCACAGAGACACACACACAGAGAGCAGTCTGATGGCAACGTCCGTGTGTCGTGCGGCGCGTGCCTTGGTCGTTCCGTGGTCGTTGAGGGTTGCACAGGAGCTCACGTACGTGTAGGTCAGACTCACAGGATACTTAGGGTCTGCACCGCACCCACGAGAGACCTGGTCGACTGGCTTGATGGTGCGTTGTGTTTCCCAAGCTGCCTGCAATGCGGCCCACCGAGCTGGTCTTGTGCGGTGCCGATACCGGCCTCTTCGTGGACCTGTCGTCGTTGGAGAGATGAAGGATTGGAGCGATTCCTGTTGATTCGATTGGTCACTCAGTCACTCACTCTGTGCCTCGATGTGAAGTTGGGGCGATTCGGCGGTCTCACATACCTGATCAGTGATCAATCAAATGGCCGGATGGACGGACGGACGAAGGAGCATGTTTATCTTTCAGCATTCCATCCATTCTGCATGCCTTACTTACATGGTTCTGCTTCGTATGATCCAGCAACGGTACCGTGCGTCTCGCATCATCCGCACCTTTGCAGCCGAGCACAACAATACGACACGGCCAGTCAGTCCTCCAGCTTGTACGTGCTCATACACACACAAAGATGCAAACCATACCAGAGGGTCTTTTGAATAAATGACCTCCACGTAGCCGCGCAGCTTCTCGGGGCTGACAGACAGACAGACAGTCGAACACATGATGCACCTCGGATCCGGGCATGTCTATGTCTCGCTTGGCTCCCTCCCTCACTCACTCAGTAAAGACGATAATCGCGGGTCCCCTCTTCTGCTCGATGTTGGGATCCAAGAGGTGCATCGTGAACACCCTACCTGTATGTGTGTTGCACGCCATGCACCACAGAGGAGGGACGCAGGGAGTGGAGTGATGCTAGCCGGCGAGATAGCATCAATCGTGTCTCTCTCTCTGTGCTGTGGCAGCTGCGCTTATGTCAGCAGGCCACTCGCACCCGCCTTTCTCACAGCAAATACGACCGTTCTTCCCTTCGACAGGATGCCGAAATACTGACGCTCTGAATGAATTGCAGTACACAGACAATATGCCGACAGCCATCCATAACGTCATTCCCTCTCTGTCTGCAAATGTGTATGTCTGCGTGACCTTCAGCTGTCGCTTGGTGTCCTGCGATAGGCGCCGCCTGCTCGGCCTCTTTGCTCAGTATCGTGAGCGTCTCTGCCAAGATCTCCGGCAGCAATCGCACCTCTATCTTCCGATAGCAATCCTGCACCCACCCACCGACCCATCAACAAGCAAAGCATGACGCGACAGACAATCAAACAAACGGTGTCCCGTGCACCGACCGACCAGTGTGATGAAGCGTCTTTGCGTCAAGGCCACGTTGATGTTGCAGTCCTCACTCTGCTCCCTCGCCGTTTCGATGCACTGTGCCACAAGCCGCCGGCTGGACAGCGCACCCTGCTCGACAGCCAGGCAGAACTCCAGGCACGCCCACTCCTTCTGACCGGCGCTTAGCAGCGACGCGGCCTCGCCAGCGGGGCTCGTCAACGACACGTCATACTCACGCACGACGCCGATCTCCCGCCTCTTGGCCCATTTTCTCTCCTTCTGGGCGTCGGTGAGCCCCTCAAGTTCGCCCTCATCTTCCTCCTGCAGGCTCGCCAGCAGATGCTGCAGGTCAATGACCACTTCACCGGGCCTCTTCTCCTCCTCTGTAGTCACGGGCTTGGCGGCTCTCCGCTGCCTCAGCTTCGCTGGCGGCACAAAGAAGTCGTGGCCGCTGTCGCCTGAGTCGGTCTCAAGGCCAGATGAGATGTGTGACTCAGACTCGGTATCCATTGAGGGGGGGGACTACCTGCTTGAAAGAAGAGGAATTCCAAGACGTGCAGGGGAACGTCGTCTCAGCGGGGGGGGGGGGGGGGGGGGT